CCCCAAAACCCCAAAACCCCAAAACCCCAAAACCCCTTAGTTATTAAATAAGCCTGAAATCTCAAATTGGAACACCTAAAATGGGAGAGTTCAATGGCATGGCCCTGAGCTTCCATCTGAGAGAGTTCATTTGATTAACTCTAGAGGGATACTTCAGAATAGATAGTGGAAGTAAAAATTACTAAAATTCACATTAATCAAAATGAACTTATACTAATTACATCGTTATTGATCAGATGGTTCTTGGAACGCATTATATAGCTCAGCTAAGTCTGTTAGGTATTCATCAGTGTCTCCTCCTAATAGTCCAGAGTGTGATATAGGATAGTATTGCCAGTCAACTACTAAGTCCCCAAGTATGTCAGCATACCATTGCATGTCTTCATGAGTGACAGCTACGTCAATATCTGCATTAACCAAGGCAACTCTGTTTATGGTATTTTCCAATGGAATTAGAGGAGGCACTTCAACTCCATATCTTTCTAAATTTCCTTGTGGCCCATAATCGAACTGAGAGACTCTCTGAGTCCTTGCACTCTGAACATAATGCTGGAATAACTGAAGAGTTGCAGGAGCACCAGAGAGCATGAGATTTTGAACACTTTCAAGATGATCTATTGTTGGATCACTTTCACCCATTACAAACGAAAGAAGTCCATCTCATAAATATGGGAAAGGGACTCAAATCATAGAACCTATTTCTCCCATTGGGCTATCATATGCCATCATCACGTTCATACCATGGGTTCTTAGGTAATCCATCATAGGATGGAGATAAGCAACAAGGTTTAGAAGAATAGAGTTTGAATGAGCCAGAGACACAGGTGTCACCATTAATCCGGCCAAGTTTATTCTTGGCTCAAAAAATTCAGGCTCTAGAGCCATAGCAAAAGCGGTTGTTACTCCTCCAAATGAGTAAGAATAAGTGGCAAGAGAATCGTAGTTAGTATTATTAAGAATAAACATAATTTCGGCCATAAGATCATGTCTCAAGTCTACAATATCAAAATCCCAATATTCTTGATCTGTATCTGGGTCAAGAGTAGTATGAGCTCTACTATAGCTCGTATACCTGAAATTATTAAGCCAAATATCAAACCCTCTATTCGAAAGCGAAAATGCTGGTGAAAAATCTGGTCCTTCACCAACCATCGCTGCAGAATCTGCATTCAAAGGGTGTACCATCAGCACAGGAGGTCTATTCTCAGTACTCGGGTTATCTGGACTATACGGAATTCTCATTAGCGTCAGTATATATCCATCCTCAGTCGTGACCTGATATTCCTCATATCCAAATCCATATCTCTCTCATCTCTCTTGTATAGTCAAGCTCCCATCAAGCTGGGCCCTTAGGCCCATGACCAGAACTCCTATTACTAAAAGTTTAGCCCAAAAGTCCATTTTTTGGTACCACATTTAATTATTAATATTTTCGATATTTTGATATTTCAACTGAAAATCTAAAATTCGGGGTTTTGGGGTTTTGGGGTTTTGGGGTTTTGGGG